CTTCACACGCACTTTATTCTATTAAATTTATTTTTTTCACATTTTGTTTATTATTTTTTATTATTTGTTCATTGCGTAGTTGCATGAGTATTTCGCCTGTCTGAGGTTTTCTGTTTTCGGTTTTTGTAGAAATAATAGTGTACGTTGAGTTGGAGTTGCTAGTTGGAGTGTTAGGGAAAATTAAAAATTCAGCACACTTTAATTTTACCTTAAAAACAGGGTGTATAAGTCAAAGCCATTCAAATAAAAGTTTTTAAATAATTTAAAATAATATTTATAGTGATAATATTTATTGCATGTGACAGATGTGACATAGGGTTAGTATGTTGATTAACATACTAACTGAATCTATGTTTCAGACCTGAACGAATTAAATTTTTGACAACTACTATTAATAAGATATATCTCTAAAATTAAACTAATAATTGTATAATAAAGTTTTTAAAAAATTTTTCTTTTCGAACATAGTTGATTCTTTTTGAAAATAGATGACTTTTCATTTAACCAAATAATATTTAATAAAAATAATATGATATAAATATATAATATATATGTAAATATACATATAAATATTCGTTATTCCTTTACGAATAATTAAATACAAGAATTATTTTCAAAACCAATGATGATGAGTATTTGGCAATACTCGAAACAGCTGTATGGTCAGTCAAAAATTCAATTAATTAAAATAATATAAAATAAATTTTTGTTGTTGTAGTTCATTACTGTTCGAAAAACCTCTTTCTCCGTTATACATATAATTATAATTAATTATAATTATATAAAATTTGACATTATTTTAATCAATGTTAGGTAACCAAAGAAATAAGCCACGATTGTTATCAAGAAATTAAATTAAATTAGGAATATTTACTCCTATTTATTTAAGAAAGGCGTTTATGAATTTAAATATCTGTTAACTCAATAATTATAAAATAATTAATTCTTCTGTAGTTTTGGGACATGCAAAAAGTCATCAAGAGTCATGTATAACATTTCCGATTTAAATGTAAACATATAGTCGAAACAGGTTGCATCACTAGAAGAATATATGTTCATAAATAAGTCGGATATGCTATATATTCTTCTTGCGATTCAATCTGGCACGAACACTTTTGCCAACTTACGGATTTAAGCCCGATAATATTAAAATTTTTGACATTGCTACTATGGAAATAAACTGGTCTGATATTCTGATGATGACCGATAAGATCAAATGAACGAAGAAGAAATAACTTAAACGGTGTGTAGAAAACTTTAACGTATTATAAAACTGTCAACATACATGTGATGATGTCGATACCATCATACTAAGTGTTAGAAATTCAAATTGTATTGTATACTGTAATACGTTTGTAGAAACCCTAACTTTCTTGTGTGAGTAAAAGTTAGAACAATTTATATAAAAACATTTAAATATCTGCTTCTTACTGCACCCTGTATCAGAAGACTTGAGGTACATTATCACTGCCAAACTGAAACAATGAAATTTAAATAAAAGCAACCCAACTCAACTCATACACAGAATTACCGGATTTAGTGGGTTAAAGCGCTTTTAAAAGACTGAAACTGCCACTTGAAACACACAAGCGAAGCACTTGAAAATAGTATTTTGTGCTCTGCGCTCGAAGCAATCATAGACGAGAAAAGAAGGTGAACTGCGTGAGGATTACCTTAAGCCGCCGAAAATTACTTTAATAAATGCAAATGAACTCGCGGGTAAATACGCGTTACGACCACGTACAAAACTACCAAACGTTAAATGCTTATGGGAAATATTTAACAATAAATGTCTTTAACATTTAATGGCTTAAACCTTAACATTCCCGAGTTCTCGCGTAGACTTTAATTGCAGAAGAAAAAAAATTAAATTAGTAATTTTATCAAAGCTAATATCAAAAAGTGGAATGTTTTTAGCAAATTAGCAAACTCAACACAATTTCCGTTGTAATTAATTTCGTTAGAAAGAAAAGAATTCGTATATTTTTATTTTCTAATTTTTCGGTTCTCTTTTTAATTCCATGAGAAAAGTGTGCAGCTTTTAAGATTTAAATATTTCAAAAGTCAAATATTTACTTTTAATCTAATATCGGTTAGGCCAACTCTCGATTGCAATTCACTGTCAGCATCCTTTCTTGAAAAACCTACTCCATAAACCACAACAGCAAGCAACAAGCCAAAGAATATAAACTCATTAATAATGACCGCAGGGGGTTTAAGTCAAAATCGTTTAATGTCAGTTCAGTCAGTTCAGTTAGGCACTCGAGAGATATTAATTCCAGTTTATTTATTTTTTTTTTTTTTGTCTTTGGTTTATTTTCAAACTTTTAATGTAAAAAGTGAAATATTTTTAAGCTGAATTTTGTTAATTGAATGAATTATTAAAAGCTAATTTTTACATACGGGTTCTCATTTAATACAACACAAACAGATACATTTCTATATATTTCAGCAGGAGGTTGTGCGGTCTATTAAAAAGGTCGGTTTTGGATTATCTATATTAATTGCGAATAATGAACTCGTTAGGCAAAGAAAACAGAAATAAACATATTTCATTTTGCTGCGGGAGTGAATAATTTAATTAATTAATAATTTATACTAACCAGTAGTTTTGTGTCTTTTTAACATTTAACATTTCTGTTAGATATTTTCTAAAATAAAAGGCTAGGCAATTTTCATTAAAACCTTTAACTTATTTTTGTGTCTATATTATACCACATGAGTATTATATTAAAATATATTTTTTACACTATATAATAATAGGACACTAAAATTGTAGCAACTAATGTTATATTAGAACGATTAACATACCATAAGAAGTTTTAGTAGACTAATGTTTAGCACATTGGGTTAATGTTTTATACTAAGAAAAAAAATTAATTAATAAAATTAGTTTAAAAAATATTTTATAATTTTATTTTATGATTTTATGTACTTTACCTATAACAAAAGCACTTATAGCTTATTTTAAATATTACTCACAGAGGTAGATTTTTAACAAATCTAAAAATAAAATTCTTTAAAAAGAACATATAAATAAATTCAAAAAAAAATTTGGAGAAAATTTAAGGAACAATTCTCACACAGATATATAACCGACGAGCAAAATATTTCAGTCCCTAACTCATCCGGTCAGAATGAACTCATTTGGTATTAATACATTAAAACAAAAGCAAAATAACTCTCTCATCCTGCATCAATCAACCAATTATTTATATTTATATTTTTTTTTTTAATTAAACTATAAAGTATTGGAATGTTAAGAAACTACTTCTATAATTACTCGTTATTTAATATGCAAGTATACTCTCCCGCCCAGTTGATACAACAAGAATGGATAGTTATATATCTAATAAAGCATAATTTGGCAATACTCCAAACCACTGTATGGTCAGCCAAAGAATTCAATTAATAAAAAAATAGAAAATGAATTTTTGTTGCTCTTTATATGTTGGTATGAATTTAAATTGACTTAATATAAGTTTAATTCTACTTAATTATTTGTACGTTCAATCAAAAGATATTACTATTTTTTCTTTGGTTAGTATTACCGATATTGACAAAATTATAGGGCATAAGATTATATATAGGGCATACATGTATATAGAATTACAAAGCATTGTAAGATTAATTTTCTAAAATAATAAATTGGTACATATTTAATTCCATGCATTACAAATATCATTTATTTAAGATAACCGAAATATTTCAAAATTTTTATATTGCTTCAACAATTATGTCGATATACGCACAATTTCTAAAATAATTTAATAATGCTTCATTTCGAAAATTATCGTGAAACTTACAAAACATAAAATTAAATTTCATTCCTGTGGATGTGATAAAATTCACGCTAAAATGTCACAAAGCACCAGTGAAAACATTTCATAACAATTGATGTGTTACTGCTAAGTTGACAAAAACTATTACCAAACAAACGCTAACGCTTCAACGTTCAACATCCCTAAAGAAAAACAAGCATACACAGGATCAACAAGGATACGCACAACCGGATGCTGCACAACGCGACACCATCCTTCGACGAAATTTCACAAACAATGTATCCGAAGAGTGTATGCAAAATTCTATGCCTATAAACATACAATATTCGAGCGGAGCAGAGCTATTCAGCATCGTGTAAATAATGGAAAATGGGAATAGTGGAACACAGGAAATCGCTCTGTCAATGGAGTAGATTTAATTTAGCAATGTTTGTAATTTTAAAGTGCTGCCACCAGTAAACATTTAGACGAGCGTTTACACGACACATACAAATGATGTGGCAGCCTTACAGACGCAAAGAATGAAATGTAGGCTGATGTGGAGGTGGGCGGCACACATTATATGACGTGCGAATTGTTACTTGAAACATTTTTAGGTTACCAAATTGAGATTGCATTCACATAAGTGCTTTAAATAATAGAAAGTATTGCTTTCAGAAAAATATTTGATGTAGTCATGAATTTTACTTAAAAACTTTTTACTCGTGAGCATAGAGTTAGACAAATGAATTTTATATATTTTATTGTAATGCAATTCAATAAGTTTCTTAAAAATAATATTAATATTTATATTTTCATTAATTAAATTTTTACTTCATAATACATTGCATATTATTTCGCATTTCATCGCTATTGCCACACATTATTTATGACTAATATTTCTTTCCTTAGTAGCATGTCAAATGCATATTATGGTTTGAATTATAGATTTTTTTCATATATAGTACACATTATTTAATTGTGAGGCTTCTTAAATTATAACCTATGCATTACTTCATAGCCAGTAACTTTTTAAATTATAATATTTTATGGTCACACAAAAATATTTTGATTCCAATGACTCACTTTTATTGCATTCGCATGTAAGCATTAAATTCAATATAAAACCCGTTAAACATTTAACTCATATTCATAAACTAATAAAATGATATTAAATTATTTCATATAGAAGCTAATGTGTTTAATTTTTTTTAATTTTTTTTAAACATAGTCGTTTACCTTTATTTCGTGTATAAAATCCGTTTCATCCAACAAATTTATGCGAACGGGCATAATCCGTGATGGTCGACATAAGCAATCCATTTTACATTAAATATTTCGAAGCGGTTTTATTTCTTGAAATATGTCTTGCCATAAACTTTTTACTGGTAAGTAAATTTTTATTATGATTTTTTATTATTTTAAAATAATAAAAAACATTTTCTTTTTATACTTCTACATACAAAATTTTGCTTTTTGTTTTTACTTTTATTTTGCATTGCATAAAATTAATATTTTTTTAATTTTATTTAAAATTTTGTAATATATATTTATGTAATTAATTGTAATATAAAATGTTTTATATAAGTTATATAGTGTTTTTTTATTTCTCTTTCATATAACTTTATAGAACAACTTTAATTAAATAATTAAAAAATTGCGTTTATTTTCCATTTCAAGTTGATGAATATTATAAGTTATGAGGAAGTTCTGGAAAGAAGAAAAAAAATAAAGTTAATAATTACATTTACCGATAAAAGTGAATTTATAAAAATATTATATATCATATCATAATTATATATCATAAATATGTTATACTATATATATACAGTCAAACTTTCACAGATCGAAGTACCATTTTGCAAAGAAAAGGCTCGACTTATGAAGACTTCGAGTTAAGAGAATTTTTTATTTTATTTTATTTTTATTTTTATTTTTTTCTATTTATAACCACATTTTAACATATTTATTTATTTAATTAAAATTAAATACAGCACAAAAGTTATAAAGAAATAAAATATTTAGAAATTAGGGTTTGGGATTTTAATTTTTTTTTCTTATTTTCAGTAAAAAGAGATTTCAATTTATTCCAAGCCTTATAGTCTTTATCAGTTGAAATATCATTCGTTTGCAAATAAAAATTCAGAATTTTGAATGAGTCTTCTACTTCATTCTAGAAAGGTTCATGAACAATTTCATCCACCGAACTCTCATCGTCACTTTCCGTTCCGCTGAAAATCGAATCCACTATAATATACAATATATACAGACTATAAAGCTAATAATATCGTCATCTATAGGAAATATATAGATGATATACAGTATATTTAAATATTTAACAAAAATTATTTTATAAAAGTTATTTATTATTAATAAAACATTTTGATGTATATGTTGAATTAGAAAAAAGTATTAAATTGTGTAAATAACTATGAGTATTTTCAAAAGTTGTTGTGAAACTGGGTAGCCTATAAGTCAACAGTTATGAAAAAGCATTAAAACTCTTCGAAAGAAAAGTGTTTCAAAAGATCAATAGCATTTGCTGGTACAATGAACTGTATGACTATACTGCGACATTGACATAGCACATAAGTAGTCCCTGGCTTGGTTATGTAATACGGTTGGATGGAAATTCTCCGGCTGGAAAAGTGTTTGAGTCGGTACCCGTTGGTGGCTGTAGTGTATATCTGCAACTTCGGTGGATGAACTATATGACTAACGATATGAAATCAATCGATACAACCAGCTGGTAACAGCAAACCTCTGATCGACTACTTGACTCGGACAAAAACAACTGACGTCTGTAATCGCCAACTAAATAACTAAGCAATAACTTACTATTACTTACTATTAACACTGACATAAATATTTAGCGGCTTCCCTAGCTTGGTAAAGTTGTACAGTTGAATGGAAATTCTACGGTTTGAATAGTGTTTGATTCGGTATGCGCTGGTGGAAAACACTGTTATATACATCCTTCTGTGGACCAAGTGACCAACGAAGTGAACGCAACAGCATTACCAAATGGTGACATAAGCCACTAATCGGCTAGTGGACTTGACCAAGAACAATTGACGTCTATACTTGTCAACTAAATAACTATGTAATTACTAGTTTCGTTACTAGACTCATCACTGGTTTCTTTACTTGGAACGATTTTGTTAAGTAACAACTTTCAAGAACTCCAATTCTAGTAGTTATGATTTTTAAAAATAAGTTCAGTAACAGAAAACTATACTAACAGTGCAAAGTCGCAAAAACAAAATACATTAAGTGGATATATATAATAAATTTCAAATAACACAGTGTAGCATGTAGCATTGTCGGTTCTACAGGAAGCTAAGCTAAATGTATATATCTGCCCACTTTCATATTTTAAGACAAGTTCAATTGAGTCTATGAGATACTATTAAATTAAATCATAGATTGGGTTAGCATAAAAACTTTTTTTTTTAAGTTGTACTGTAATTTTATTCAATACTGAAATTTGACGTCCATTCAATATAAAAAATAAAAAGGCTTTCGACTTCTGTCTGAAATTTTTATTTATTCAAATTAATTTAATCTATGCACCACTCAAACTGCTTGTCCGATTTTCCTCACTACAAATTGAATACCTATAATTTTTTTGGCGTTAATGTACTTTAATACACTTTTAGCTATTCAAATTATGAATGAAATTGTTTATAAGTATCTATTATTTACTTACACACAAGTCGAGTACAAAAATGTGAACAAAAAAATTGAACTTCAACTACACTAAATACTTATAATTAAAATTAATTAACCTGAGGCATAAACAAAATTTACGCCTCCTAAAACCGTAAAAGTTATAGTAATTAACTGTTAAAATACGGAGTACCAAAAACCAAACATCGAGAGAAAAAAAACCTGGTAAACTACAATGGAAATGTATACATGTTCAGACAATTTGTGTGGCGAAGGTTCATTCACTCGACGATTTCGGCTCGTTACTCATGCTTTGCCAGGCGGTTGCAGTGCCACCGAAACACCCAATTTACTTTTCGGTCTCGCCGTTTTGCGCGCTTTTTCACCCACAAAAGATAGATTTTTTCAGCGATAAAATTACGTTAATTTTTCAAGTGCTCAACTGGTCGTAGGTTTGCTCGCCTGCCAACTTAGCTCAAAAATAAATTATTTAATAGAGTTAAACTAAGTTTATTATTTCTTTTATTTACTCGTATTTTATTTTTTTGGATTTCACAATTTTATTGTTAAGTATGCGATATATATACATATATATATATTTATTTTTTTTTTTTCATTTCAATATAAATAATTTAAATAATTTGTTAATTTTATAGAACATGGGCTGGTATGAAAAGTTGATACCATCAAGGTGTGGTGGGAAATTTTTGTTTTGTTACAGTTAAAATTGGTTCAGTTGTTGTTGTTGTTGTTGTTGTCACAAAAGAACACAAATGAATTTTTCTCTATAATGTATGTATGTTGGAAAGGAAAACTTCTTTAGTGGGTTGGTTCAGAACATAATGTGCTGTGGCTAAAGTTCAAGAGCAACCAATTAAGCATTAGTGCACATTTTTTTGTGGAGTAGAGCACGAAATTGGAGCACGGCTTTATCAGATGTTGACTTGTTGCTGAAGCCTGAAATTCTTGCAATTTTCGCACACTTGGTAGTCGGAAAACGTGAAAATACTCGTTCTGTGATACTTCTTGATTTGTTTGCGATATATAGTATTTACCTAAGTCATTTATAAAATAATGACTTTAAAATGTGTAAATAATAGATTAAAAGATTAAAAATTTTTTATATCACACTAATTCGTATTACAATAATTCAATGCCGAAAAAATAATGAATGAATTTATTGTACTGTAAGAATAGTTAAACTAAAACAAAACAAAAAGCTACTTCAGAAAAGCTTTACATTGAATATCCTCTTAGTTCCATAACACTAGATGATACAGCTATGCTATAATCTTACAGCTATATTGAAAGACTTTAATGAGCAGCGAAATGTCGAGAGATTCGTTTTATCATAAAACATGGATAATCATTTTTTATTATCATTTTTTGGCATGGATAAGTCTCAAAAATAAACACCATAAGTAACACAAAGAAGTTTTAAAAGTTATAAAAAAGGTAGGAGATGGAAATTGTGGAAATTGTGTAGATAAGATGTATACGATGATATCTTATAGGATGCGGGCTAAGGACTGAATAGCTGAAAATCGTGATACTCAGTGAGGCAAACAATAGTTTATCCCAAACTTTTACATACATTACTAACTATTATTGTTTCGTTATGCTGATCAAAAATACAAATTATTTCTATAGTCCCCACTATCTGTTTTATCACGTTGTACAAATTTTATTAAACTTAATATATCAATTTTTTTAAATAACGTAAAATATATAAAAATAAATCGCTTAAAACAATATAATGTTACGTTCAAATATATATAAAAACACGTCTGAATATATTCACATATTAAGGCCGTGTGCGAGTTCGAGTAAATTGAGGTAAATTAAATTGAAATTTCCTAGGGATTTCTTGTACTGCACTTATTTAACAATTTATCTCATAAAAGTGTACGAGTTCGAGTAAATTAATGGTAATTTTGACAACTCACATCAGCTGTTCATAAGTTTTGTTTTGTAAGCTTTTCGAAATGGCTAACGAATATCTTATAAAATGTTCACAAAGGTAATACCTAATTTACCCTACTCGAAATTTTGATAAAGACCAACATCGCTGCCATACCATCAATTTACTCGAACTCGCACACGGTCCAAGATAATTTGGAAAATGTGACAATTACAATCATTTTTATAGCATATCGTTATTAGAAATTAAAATATGTATTTTATAATTACATCTATTCATTTTAGTGTATTATGGAGGAAAATGGACATCCTTAACAAATGGTAAAAGAAGTTACAAGTGCCCAAGTACAATGAAGTAACATATAAAATTTAACTTTAAAAATATTTTCCAACAAAGTTATAAGCATGACAATGATGGATTTGTGATAAGCAAAAGCGAATAGGAAAAATCATTTTTATCATAGCTATGCTTTTAGCAAACTAATCATTATTTTTATGAAAATTATACAAAAAGGAAACGAATACATTTCTTCATTCTTACTCACTAAATTACTAGCATTATCCATATCTTGAGAAATGTCTTTTGTCTATCAAAGTGTATATAAATACACGAGATAAGAGCAGCAAAAGCAAGGAACACCGACCCAAAGACATCACACATTCAGCTTCTGTAGCAGCTTGTGACAAGAGTTCTGCAATAAAGTAAAGTTTCAAGTTTGTAGACGAAAAATACAGAGTTAAGTGAATAAAAGGGAATTAGAGTGAAGTATGTTAGGATGGAACATAAAATGTGATATATCACAGATA